AGAACCTAGGCATAAACCAAACTATGTGAAATATTCCAATCTGTTAGTACAGAATCTTAATGCTGTGTGGCAGCTTTCAGTCTCTATACTGGGGGGCCACGCACAGGTACAGAACACTAATTTTGAGGTTTCCTTCCTAGACAGGCGCCGTTTCAGATTGTCTTACCGTGAAGCTGAGGTGCTTTTGGACTGCTGTATTGTAATTGCAGTTATCTCTTTGGGCAGTCCCGTAGTCTAGTTCTGTCCTTGAGTACATCTCTTAACTACTTTAATTACATCATTTGAAGGTCTAATATGATCAAACTTTCCTTGAAGAATTCTCAAATAAGGTTATATTGCATGATGAAGGAGTTGCATCAATGCTTAAGTCTGATCAGTTTTAACACTTGCCATTAGGCAGGGTCACTATAAAGCATTTCTGCTTCTAACTGAACTCCTTACTGTTGTAACCATCCTTCCAACGCTTGGAGCTGGTCACTGCTGGTGAGCTGTGGGTTTTCAAATGAAAAGTGCTGTCATTACTTTCCTGAGTGCTCTGTTTTTAAAAGCAATACAATGTCAATGCTTTGTGCATTGTGTCATATGTGCCAGTAGGGTACCAGCATCCGAGACATTTGCAAAGTTTCTCCGGAGAATTTGCCAATGGCTGCAGGTGTTGGAGATTTGAACTTGTAGAATGATGCTGGTTTGTGAAAGCTTCTGTAAGGTGTCTTTTACGCTCAGTGTAAATCCTTCTTTCTTTCCTCTGCTTTTGTGAAACAGCCACAGCAAACAAGTGAGGATGCGATGGCAGTGGTAAAAAGTACACAGATGTCCCCAACATGCTTTCAAGTTTGCAAGCTTATTTGTCCGTGAGATTTCTCATTTTCCACAGGCAAATGTGACATTTTTAGCTGTTGGGGACTTGGAAAAGGAAATTTCCAATATGTATAAATATCAACAAAAAAAGGATTCTCGGGGACTGGTTTTGTTGAAGCAAACAGTAGTATAAAGTATCCTTTATTTACTCCTTTTTGTTATAGCCTTGGTACTTTGAGTATGACTCTATTCTCCTGAGCAGACTCTATCTGACCAAGCCAAATAAATTGGCACCTATTTCTGTCAAATGGGCCAAACTGCGGCTGCTTCAACAGTAGTTATCATATTCAATGCTTTTCCGCTGTTGTCCTCCTAGATATACAAGGAGAATGTGTTCAGGCATATATTGGAGCAAAATAAGAATTAGTGCATTGTGTGAGAGATTATTAACTTTCTGCCTGTATCTTCTTGTTTCCCTCTCCCCTGCCATGCAGAAATTGTGTGCTGTACATTAAAATACTCAGCTGTTTCAACCCAGAAACCTACTACCCAGTACTTCAGTTGCATCCCACTTCCCGGTGTATAGAAATTTGAATTCCCAAAAGTGGAATAACATTATTTATGTTATGCACTTTCTTTGATGTTCCCATGTAGCTTTGCAAAACTTGCAATTATGTTTTCAAAACAAATTCAGGTTGCTGAAAATCCCACCAGTCCCAGGAAAGAAGTCACGATTCCAAGGCTGTGTTATTCTGACTGAAAACACTACTTATGTTCGTTATCTTTGAGATTGTATTACGTCAGCTAACCTAACAATGTTATGCCATTTGAGCTGGAGTACACTGAAATAAGAGAATTTCTAAACTTACCTTTTCTATGGGGAGAAGAACACTCATCCTTTTTCCATGGTTCTAATCTTGAAGCCTGGTCTAGTTACAAGAAGTATGTCGTGACTTTTTGTTTTTCATTCCCTCCAGGTTTACGGGAACAGATGGACCAAGTGGTTTTGGATTTGAGCTGACATTTCGACTAAAGAGAGAAACGGGGGAGTCGGCACCACCTACCTGGCCAGCAGAGTTAATGCAAGGCTTAGCCAGATACGTCTTCCAGTCAGGTACTGCAGGGTTACATATGCTGCCTCGTTTTTTCCTGCTCTTGTTCTGAAGGGCCACATCTGTTACACGATGCGAGTCTCACTGGCACCCAAACAAATCTTGGGAATTACCTTGGTGTGGGAACCCAAAAGAGTGTGTTCTTTCCATCAGACCAGCTTGCTGGGGACAAAACCCAACTACTGTTCAGGTAACTCCAAATCCCTAGTATTGAAAAGCTGAAGATGCAGAACAGTTAGGAAGCCTGCCCAGCGGCGCTTTGTTGCCTTCCTCATTTGCTTATCTGAAGATGGCTGAAGAGCACCCATCTGATAGGGTCTCACTTCTCAGCAGAAGGGCTGTAACTTCAAAAAAAATTGCAGTTCTTTCACAAGCAAATTTCTTCCTCTGGTTTCTGCAGTTGAACAGCAGTAACATGTAAACAAGGAGTTGCTGAGATGAGAAAATGTAAAAGTCATAAGGGATGCAAAAGCTGGGAGGGCTAAGGAATTAACAGTTAGGAATCATTAATGTGGATGGCGACTTGCCAGAAAACTGTGAGCCAGGGTGTCTACAAAACAGCCTCTTGCACCACTCTTTCTAGGTTTCATTTATACTGGTAGATTGAATATTAGTTTGTAGTGTGAGCACACGAAGACCCGTGGAATGGTTGAGTGCATAATGTACTTGAAACGCACCTCCAGCATCACAAGATCTGAATGAAAATATTTTAAGAACTTTTTTAACCTAGTTTGAGGTCCTTTACAGGTAAAGTAACTTCTAAATTGATGATTATTGAGTTTGTAACATTTGGTACTTGCTCTGCTAGTTAATAAATCGGCAACTTCTGATTCTATTGCTGGTTTTCAGTCAGGTGACCGACTTTCAAAGGGAGGAGGTCTGAATGAGAACAGTATTTCTCTGCTTTCCTGTGACAAATCTCTGAAGCAGAGGCAACTCTTGTGGGGTATTTTTTCTAAATATTGGCTGACAGAGACCAATGCCAGCACAGATTGTTGCTTGTCTTCATATTGGGAGTGTCTCCTGTTGTGGTTTAAAATGACACAAGTTGGGGTTTTTTTTGTAACCGTTGTTGTGTAGCTGTCTTCCCTGGTTGCCATCCAAACTTGGGCTCACCTTTCTATGTTGACTTTTGCTACTCTAAGTGTCTGAATCCATGTGACTGTCATAATTTTTGCCATTGTTTGGGGTTCCCGTCCTGCCTAAATTGTACGGTAGCTTTTTGATACTGACCACGGAGTGATGAATTCATGCTCACATTTTCTGTGTGTTGACAGCAAGGTCTGAAGGAAACATCTGAGTCTGTCTCCCTCTTAGATATAAAATAACATACAACATGTTTTATGTTATGTTATACCTTATGTATAAGACCCCTTCTGGAGCATTTTAAATTTTCTAGTCCAGTGTGAGTTCTCGTAACAGTCTCTTTGATAGAGTAGTTTCAGTGCCTTCTATTTGCATGTTCAGGAGCCTCTCTATAGCAGTTGCTTGTTTGCCTTGCCCTTTTCATGGGTGAGAGGACGTCTGCAGACTGAAACGGGATTTGGTAGGGTACTTCAGGTCAAACTTGTCAGTGACTAAGCTGGCACTCAGGGCAGAGACTTTCCTTGTTCGCTTTCCTAATGCAGTCTCATCTTTCTGACC